GAGGTTGCTTCAGCAGCGCATCTCACAAGCGTTTGAGAGGTCTAGCCTTGGGGATGACAGTGCTGCGCACCCAAACCCAGAACTGAGATGCGCTGCTGAAGCAACCTCCACAGGCAGCACCAAGGAGCAAGAGCCAAGCAAGGGCGTGAGGGCCTTGCCTGACCGGCAGCCACCCTCAACGAGGTACCCATCCTCCTGAACAAACACAGGCCCAACTCTTAAGGAAAACACATTTTCCATATGATTTGGTTACGCAGAGTGGCTAGCCTCCCTGCAAGACAGAAGCAATTAAAGGGCAACCCCGGCCGGACTGACTGCGTGAGCCGCCCACAGGTTAAAGGTTTAGAGTTTAAGGTTTAGGAGCGCAGGAGTTTAAAGGTTTTGGGTTTAGCTCTTCAGTTCAGTTTAATGGACCAGCTAATAAATTGAAGGTGAGAATTCCATATTTGTATTTGGGGCTCTGGCTTGGTAAAAGGTTGGTAGGATGCCAGAAATGCCCGAAAAAAAACGCATCTAGAAGGAGGACCGAAAGTCGGTCCCCCTTTGGCAGAGTCCGAAGAAGAAAGTTTTAGCCTGTCTGAATACATGTCTGGTGAATCAATCTGAAGCCCCGGCTGGTTCCCGTTACGCAGGGCAAGCGCCCCTGTTACGGAAATCTGCCGGTTCCTGTTACAGAATGGGAGCCGGTTCCTGTTACACTGCACTGTTACGGACAATCGGTTCCTGTTACTTCCAATCCTCACCGTATGAGATTAATCAAATTAAACGCAGAAATCCTGGATTTCTAGTTTTCGATCTGGTTCCGGTCTATATACGTCTAGTATTCAAAAGAATTTGAACTAATACCGAATTCCCAGAAGCCTGGAGCCCTGCTGTTCGAGTTGGTTCTAGCGAACGTGGAATGTGCTCAAAAATGTGATTTCGTTGATGATGACATCAGTTACCGGAAAACAGCGAATTCATTGGTATTTACAGAGCTTGAGATTTCTTTATAAGAAGGATCGAGGTATATCAAAGGAGGGTAACCTTTTGTGTATATATACATCTGAATATATACATATATATATATGTATATATGCTACCCCCAAAAAATCCACATTGAGTACTCTGATGACTCTAATGATATCATGAACAAGCAACCCCCTACCGGTCTTCCTGTGACCATGTCCTGGGTCATGGTCTTAACTGAACGATACACGTCAAAAAACTATGGAACGCATTGGAACTCTCATAAAAACCCAGCCGATATGGTCATGTTTGGAAAAATTCCCAAAAAAGTTAAAAACACACAATGCAAGCCAGTATACCCGGAAAGCTTCAAATTCAATCAGGAATTCTCACACCCTGGACTACTGCTTCTGTCTATATTAAATCTCTTACTACACGTGCCTTAAATCTAGACAGGAATTCTCACATCCTGGGCTCCTGACTGTAACCATATAAATGCAATACTAAAGGCGCTTGAACTTTACGGACAAATTATCATGTCATGAAATGCTTTGTTTGTGTTTACATACGACCCTTGCTAAATGTGTTTAGAATTTAGAACGGAATTCTCAGACCCTGACCGCCTGAGCATCCAAATCATTTAACAAATTGGTTTCGAGTCTAAGGGAAAGGTCTCTAGTACTGAACTAAACGAATGCCCCTGACGAAACTCGCTACGCCTCTACAGGAGAGTTTTCCCACCATTGGTATCCTGATTTTAATCATATTTTAACCTCACCAAATGTGCGTCAAAATTGAGTAAGAATTCTCAAGTTTTGGGCTTTGTATTTTTCATATATATATATATATCCTTTACTGAATCTTCAAAAGGTAAAAGAAAAGATGAATTCTCGAATTCTCAGCTCCTCCTTTGGTTTAATTAAACGATTCCTGAAATCTTCTTCCAATTCAAGAAGGACTTTTTGGATTCACCATCGGCGACGCTGAGGAGAGCAAGACCCTCATCCGCGAAAACGCTCTGGCTGCATTGACCGTGTACTTCATAAACGCAACATGGGACGCTCAAGATACCATGGCCGAAAGACTGAAGGAACAGCAGGCCGTGCATTTCGCGGAGAACTTGTGAACATCAAGTGAGATTAGGGATCGATCAGCGAGAGAAAGTTCAAAAGTGATCTGGCTTCGACTTTAAAGAAGAAGCTCCTTCTTGTCTCTAATTATAACCCTTCTACTAAATTGGTGACGAATTTACGGGATAATGCTCTGCTCCTGGTCTCTTTTTTCTCTGTCACAAGACCCTCAAAAATATTGTTGAAATTCACACAAAGAATTCTCAGATCCTGGGCACATCATTTTCTCTATATAAGTCCCTTGCTACATGTCTCTAAATGTAGCTTAACATGAAAGAAGAATTCTCAAATTCTTGGCTCCTGTCTTTCCACTGAAAAAAGCCCTTGCTAGTCCTTTTCTCAAGAGAAATGTTGAATCCAGCGCTCTTGTTGCTTTCCATAGATATTTTACTAACTTGGTGAGGAATTCTTTGATGCTGGACTCTCAACACAAAACTCCCGGACTCTTGGAGTCCTGTTTTTCGATCATGAAATTCGTGTCAAATTCTACTCTTACGCGGATACACAACGTTGAAAGTGGGCGTGCGAATTCAGTTTCTGACCGCCGCTACAGGCAAAGTTCGTAACCAAAATGATGATCAAAGCTCGAAATTGCCTTGTCCTTAGCTTTCTGCATTTTCCAAATCTCCATGCTTCAATATCAAAATTCTGTCTAGGCCGAAAATAAGCTGAACAATTCTCTTTTCAAATTGAAAGGAGTCTTCTGAAAATTGAGTTTTTCTTTCAAAGGCCCAGCTTTTCCAGATGTTCAGCTTTCAAGATTTCCCGTTTTCTTGATTTACAGCTTTCCAGAATTCCCGATTTGCAGAAGGCCAGAAAAATCTGGAAATCTGGACAACTTCTGTTCTGGAAACTGGAAGTCTGGAAATCTGGGAATCTTGAAAACCAGAAGTCCTGGGACTACTAAGTTGCCTTTGTTTTTGCTTCGGACAGCGCTCCAAAAGCATATCTGCCAACCAACGGCCTGCTGATTCTGCGAATCTGTGAATCTGCGAAGATGCTCTGAGTTCCATCACCACCCTTCAGCCATCACCACTCTCCCATCTACCGTGAGGAGAATAATGAGACAAGCACAAATCTCAATTGCCAAAGAATTACCTGAGGCGTGGGGTTTTGGGGGTACCATACATATATATATATGCATATATATATATACGCGGATTTATCTTTACCGCTATATAGGATCTCTTGTTTTAAGCACTTTGGCCACTGTGGCCTGGCCTGGAAATGTCTGCTGTACGCTTCCGCAAAGCCCCACAAGCACACCACGTAGAGCAAAAAGGCCTTTCACTCGGCTCTTCACACTTCACGCAGCAGGCGGGAGCAGGCGGGCCAGGCCCGCCCGGCCTCCATTTGGTCTGTTGGAAGGAAAAGGGTCAACGTGTCGTGCATCGGCCTCTGGAAGATGTACACCTGTTTGGAGGCAAAACTTCAGAGGCAAAGCTTAGTAACCATCGCACGCTAGCCTCGAAGCTGACCTCCCCGAGTGATACCAAAGCCTGGGCACATCGGCAGGGCATGTCACAACCTGGCAAACCGCATGAGAGCAGCCACAGCCAGACAAAAGTCACGGCATGGTAATTCTCAAAAAAAGTGCACCTCCAGTTCTCTGCTTCCATCCCCACTCTGTGTCCAAAGCCCTACGATTTGGGGCTCAGGCACTAAAAGCACCCTGCCGGTGAAACATTGTTTTGAAATTTGAGTTGTGCATTTGTTTGGTACACTCTTTGCGGGCTTGCAAGTCTGAAAAGCAGAAGATGTCGGTGGGCGAGGTTTGCAGCTTAATGCAATACACTACCTCTAGCTTTTCCAGAGCTTGCATACAGCATTTAAGTTACCTTCTCAGTCACAACATGGGTATTCGCAGAAGACGCTAGAAGAACGATGGAAAAAGTGACAGTACCATATGACATAATGACTCTGCAAAGCGTGTCGCCCTAACGGTCTGCTGCTGCCGTGGGAAGTAGGATTGCCAAGCACTCTTGATGGAATGCTCCTTGACAATAAGCCGAGGCTCAATGGCAACACTTGGGGTAAATGACAGAGCCGATTATCCTACACTCATTCCTACAACAGCAACAAACAATCAAGCATGTCGAAGAAAACATCTGCAGGGATGGAGAGATAATACAGGACTCGCCATCACAGCAACAGCAACAGAAACATCTAAAGCAAAGAATGGCGGGAGTCGATGCTGAGATACTTGCAACTTGCAACACTACATTACGGAGAGAAATCGGAGCAAACTTGGATGCAATGCCAGTCCTAGATTGCAAAATGGAGAAGGACGAATGCTTGGCTGGCTGGATGGGGGTTGGCCTGGTTTAGCCAAAGGAAAGCCATCCTAAAAATACCAATAACGAAAACACAGGTAAACGAATCATTAATGTACAGAATGCGGACGATGCTAGAAATACGAACATAATAATAGCAGTGCTGAGTAAGAAGGTCAATGGTGCTGAGGGATGAGGAGGAGGCACCAAACTCCCTCACCTACGGGACATTGAGTGTCGAATTTGTTGATATGGATGAACGTGAGGAAATCCCCGTGCAGGTCAGCCAATCCAACGAGATGTGCATCATTTTACGAGGTCAGCAGAATCCCCCTCCATCGCACGTTCCCCCCGTGTGCGATCGCGAGCATACGCAAAATCATTTCCTGAGATGCTTGGATGTGAACACGCACATAGCTCTCAAAACTCAGCATGAGGTGGGTTGTGAGGTCCAGAAACTGACTGAGATAGAATCAAATAAAAATTCACGGAGCTTGGGATGGCGGGCGTAGGCTCATCAATCCAGGGTGTCCAGCCTTTGTGCACAGAAAATGCTGATGAGCGGAAAGTGATGTGAATCTGCTTACGTCTGGGACACCAATGCCCAGAAATTTGCTACTATCGTTACCATTGTCATCTATTGTCAAGCGACCAACCACCTAAGTGGTCAGAACTGACCGGCCAGGGCCAAAAGACCGGACTATCGGCCGAGGACCTTGAAGCGGACCAGGCGGGACTGAAGCCATAACAGCCCCAAAAGTACAAAATTGAAAGAGAGAAGTCGTAAAAATGGGATCCCCCTAGTGCCCGACTCTTGCCTGCTGGGCCTTGCCGCGGGCCCCACCTGACCACTTAAAGGCCTAAGACTCATGTTGGACAGCCTGAGCCGGAAGCTTTTGAACATGATGCCCTATGCTGAGCAGGGGGCGGAATGTCTGAGAAGCCTGGCGCTCAAACCTGCTTCGCGCGATGTACTCAAGACGCAAGGCCGTAGGTGAACTCTTCAAGGAAAGAAGGACGGACGGACCGCAGCCTTCAGTTCCTTGCATGCAGGAGCCCAGCAGAAAGCCTAGCAGCGCGGAGGGATCGCAACTACAATCAGTCAGTGAGCCCAGGCCTGCTATTGGCAGGGCCAAGCCATGGTCCAGAAGGGGCTCCCAACCATTCAAATGCAGTACCTCAGGAGATTCAGGAGCAAAAATGTCACAGCACCGAGAAAATCGCGCTGCGCAACCAGTGTTGGACGATGCCGGACGTCCGGTGCTTGGGGCCAATTTCAATTACATGTCTCATGCGGTTTGAATTGTACTGGGCCTTAGAGTCTCAGAGAGTTTGTCCATGTATCGCTAGCAACAGCCGATGCCATAATCTCACAAAAAGATCTGGGTGATGGCGCCGGCGCCATGCTGGTGTGAAGGAAGAGCACGCCGCTTGTCTGTTCACGGGTGCCACAGTGACTCGCGCACTGCAACATTGCCACATAGCTCAGCAGATATCTGTCAAACCGTCAGGGCAGGCAATGGTGACCACCACACCGTCGTTTTGTCAACAGCTAGTTTCCTTTTCAGCCTCTCAGCTTATTTCAGCCTTGCGTAGCCCTAAAAAAGACCACGGAACTGAACCTCTGAACGAAGACTCAATCGCTCATGTTTTCGCTGCGCAGAACAAAAACTCAAGGGGCCCACTAGAGCTGGGAAGTCGGCAGTGCAAAGGCTAGCTCCATGCATGCATTTTTCAATGCCCTTATAGACCTTAGGGGGAACCTGCACAGAACTCACACTGACTATACTTTTTTTGGGCAATGCATGCTCGGAAAGGGTTGCCTGCGGGCTTCGAAGCCACGTGTGGTAAAGAGGCCTCAAATCGTCCTGGATCTTCGTCACCATCGGCGAATTGAAGCTGAGTGGGCACCCAATACAGGTTTCTTGTCGGCACAACCTCTTGGATAGCCCTGACTGAAACTAATGACCACTTGTCTGACATGTTTGGATTCTCCTGCACAGCCGAATCATACAGACACTTAGTCCCTGTACAGTGCAAATGGAGGAGCCTGGCCCCAACCTTGTGCGCTCTAGTATCATACAGGAGCTCACTCAAAAACATGTTCAAGAAAGTTGTCCGGTCACAAGCCCCGTCAGCCGCTGAAGCCTCGGCCGCCAGCGTCGACCTGCACACCCGAACTGATCTGCCGCTTCGCCAGTCTAAGAGCGGTCCGCTGGGTTTGATGCCCTCTGCGCCACGTCAGGTGCACACAACAAGGTCAGCACACCGAACTGTGACCTTGAGCCCTCGGCGCTTGCCCAGCTGCTGTCACTGTAGCCGACGAGGACGCTGGCCTTGTTGAAGGGGACGTCCATCATGACGACGCCGCCGTGCTTCGTCTCCTTCAGGAGGCGAATCGCCTTGTAGAGCCCCTTCAAGTCGGAGAGTTCGGTGCCTAGGCCCTTGTTCGAAAGAGACGCAGCAGGTCCGATCTGGGGTCTTGTCTGGCCAGCCAGCCACTGCAAGGAACCTGCCACACTTCTGAACTCTGAGCGCTCGGCGTCAGTGAGCTTGCGGACGGCACTGAACCTTCCCCGTTGAAGATCAAGTTCGTCAAGGCCCTCTATGAAGTCACCCTGCTCGATCTTGAGCACGTAGCGCCCGTCTTTCTTCTTGACGAAGGTGAGCTGCTTGCCCTTGAAGGTGTACCGCTCGCCAGGGATCATCGCTGTGAAGTCGCCCCACTTGAACGCGTCGTGAATCTTCGTCAAGGTTGTAGTCGCTCCTGCAAGTTCCACAGAAGTCGTCCACGTAGACGACGATTATGCTCTGCTCAGGAGCCTCCCCGCCGAGTCTCTCTTGACATAAAAGCATTTGTCAAAACAATGTTGCTTACAGCCAAGAGATTGAAGACGTTTTTCCACTTCTTTCATCCAGAGACGTGGGGCATTGGATAGTCCGTAGATGCTTGAGCAAATGTGGTACAACTCTGCTTGCCACTCACCGGTCTTGTCGGTGACACCGTCTCGGGGAGGAAACATGTAGAGTGCCATGGGCGCTTGCCATCAGGCTGTGAACCCTGGAGCAGCGCAGTGGATGAGTGGATGCATCAGCGAGCCAGCTTCTCCAGTCTCGATCTCGCCGTTGGCGCCCGCCACCATCAGCATGAAGGCCACGTGCTCTGCCATCGTAGCGCCCGAAGCGTTGAGGCTCCCGTCGATGTAGCCAACTTCGCAGTGAGGTCAAGATCTCCCAAGCCAGAGCATCCGCGTACTCCTGCGAGTGCTTGGTGTCTGCTCCTTGAGCGGGCTTGCAGTAGAGGAGGCCTGTAGCAGAAAGCTTGCGGTTGAGGTTGTCAGTCATGTTGGGCTCGTTGCCGGCGCAATGGTTTGCGTCGGCTCCAAAGGCTCCAGCATGACAAGTCGTAGTAGCAACTCCAGGAAGGAGGGCAATGTCCACGAACTCCGATTGTTTGCATAGGCCGCTTGCCACAGGATTCTCAATGATGAAGAGGCGTCCAGCGTGGTGTTGTCACCGTACAAGGTCGCGAACAAAGGCGCGCACTGCGGCATCGTTCTCCCTGGGACCCTCTAGGACTCTAGGACCTCCACGCGGTCGTGGTAATTAGTTGGCATTCTCATTCATGACGTTGTAGAGCGCGCACGGGTAGTAGCCGACGATCAAAAGCCACGGCCGCAAACGATCAACTTAAGCTATGACATGTCTCTGCACACTGGAGTCTGCGAGGTTGATGCCGTCCTCTATGTCAAGGGGCTGCGCTGCCCGCAGTCCAAGCCGAGGTGCAAAAGAAGTCGGTTTGGCCGCGCCAGCGTAGAGCTCCATGATGTCCACTGCCGGCGGTTCGGCCGCGGTAGAAAGGCTTGCAGCGCATATACCTGGCACTCGCACACGTAGGCCTTGATGGTCTTGTCGAGGTCAGCCGTCAGCCGTCTGCGAGCTCCCAGCCGTACATGCATTCCAGATCATCCCCCGGCTGTTCGTCCACAAGCGGCCAGGGATTCTCCACGATCTCGTCCGTACCTGTTGCCCTCGTCATCCTGCTGGTTCGCGCCGTCAAGGGTACTGCCCATGAAGCCGTGGTCGCCATCCGCGCCGTTGAAAAGAAGGTCCGCGAGGAAGGCGGGGAGGTCCTCGCCGAAGCCGCCTTGGGCGCCGACTTGGGACGCTGGGATTCCGCTGCGCCACGCGAAAGTTGAGAGACCATGTTGCTGGAAAACGGCGGCGGCGCAAAGGAGCGAGAGGAAGTTTGTTGACCGGCGCGCACGACCCAAAGACCGCGATCTTTGTTCCATTTCCACCTTTGGTTGCACTTCTTGCATCTGCTGAAGCTTCCCTGCTTGTTGCCGTAGCGTGGTCGCACAGGTTGACGTCCATGCATGTAGGTCTCCCTCAGGGCAGGAGTCCATCGCCGTCATGGGAAAGACGCCGAGGCGGATGCTGCGAACGAGGTTGATCCAGAATGCCTGCCGAAAGTAGCGAGCGCTCAGCATGAGGCGGCGCCAGCGCTGCATCCATGCCGGCGGTTCCCGGAACATGCGTAGACAGAGAAGGCGGGCTGGTAGAAGCTTGAGCGCTCGAGCGGCTGCCCCCGCAATCAACTCTGGCAGGGGATCATTCCAATCTACTGACTCCTGCAGGCGCTTCCAACACAAGCCATGCTTGGCATCCAGCGCAAGATCTGCTACGCGAACTGTCAGATGGCCATTCAGTTTCTCAACTGGCACGGCTGCATCAATGTATTTAAAGTAGGCTTGCTTGTTGGGGAGGTCAAGGACGAGGCCCAAGCGATCAAGAAGCTCATTGGAACCCAGTAACGGAATGTTTGCATCAAGCACGCCGGCTCCTAACACAACACGCTTGCCCCCAACGCTGGCAGGAAGGTAGGCCGTAAAGCGCGGAATCACCGGGTCGCCTTTTCCAAGCTGGAAGCGATCGTCCTTGCAGGCTTCGTGCTTGCAAACTTCCACGCCGCAACGCCTAAGAAGCTGCACATGCGCTCTAAGCCACGCGACTCCACAGCATGTCCTCTGACAAGCGGTGTCCAACACGAGGAGCCCGGCCATCGACCTGCTGGACCTGGTAAAGCACGTTGACGGTAAACAAGTTCCTTGGCAGGCGTTGCCGCATCCTTCGGGGAAAGCCTCAGCTCTTGCGCTTGGTCAGGTTGCCGTCCAAGTACAGGAGCTGGTTCCATAGGGGTCGCTGAAGTCCTTACGCTCGATCGCGTCGTAGACGACGAGGAGGATGGAAGTTGCCGTCCGGATCGTTTGCGGGATCCTCGGTCATGACCTCAGATTCGGCTTGCTCAGTAAGAAGGCTGCTTCCGGAGAACGGTGGACCGCCAGGCGCAGCCTTTGACTTTCTGAGAGCTCTGCGTTGCCGTCTGCTAAGGCCATGCGATGTAGAAGATGAAGAAGAGGAGTTATCAGGGTCCATGGCCGGCATGTAGAACCACGTTCCCTGAGCCGTCTCTCTGCGGCGCGGGCGATCGGGCTGGTAAAAGTCCTTGCCGAAACACTGAAGACACGGCTGTTGCACAGTGGGACGCCATCGTACTTCATGCCCTGCTTGCCCTGGATCAAAGCGCTGTGGCTGCACGCCAAGGATCGGATCATCACCGGCGCCCGAGGTCAAGGAGGAGACGCCAGGAAGTCGTCCAGGGTCGAGTCCGCCATCACCTCGATCACAGCGCAGAAGAGAAGGCTCCGGCGCCAACTGAACGAAGACTCAATCGCTCATGTTTTCGCTGCGAAGAACAAAAACTCAAGGGGCCCACTAGAGCCAGGAAGTCGGCAGCGCAAAGGCTAGCGACCCTAACCGGCTTGTCAAAGCGCTGCCCGGGGAACTGGATGGAATCAAGAGCCTTTGTCTCCACTGTGATCGTGTCGTCATTGTGAAGTAGCGCCGCTCCTCTTGCCCTGAACGGAATGTCCAGCGGTAATCTCCTTTGAGCGGGACCGCGTCCACGCTCATGAGGTTGGCCACTGACTTGCCGAGCTGGCTGTCGAGGTCGACCTGGAAAGGGCGCTTGCTTGGATTGTCGCCGAACAAATGCTTGACCTGAGAGAAGATTGGCTGCCATTCCTGAGGATAAGAGACAGGCCTAGAAGCCACAAAGGCATTCTTGACGGCGTTGGTGCTTCGCGGGTCAGGTTGCTAAGGTCGGGATCGAGATGGCCCAAGCAAACTACTCGGCACTTGGGACTCAACGGTCCTTGTTCTCTGGACTTGTCACGATAGACCGCTCTGGATTTCAAGATCCTTCTGCGCAGGCGCGGAGTGTTCAGCACCTCTTTCACCTGTGAAGGAGTCAAGGGTTCCACACTTTGCCACTGGGTCCAACTCTTTGCCGTAGAGGTCGAACTTCTCGGCCGGCAACTTGAGCAACTCGCGCCAGGGTATTTCTCGGTCGAGCTGCTTGAGCTCTTTTCTGGTCAGCCTGTGTGGGCGGCTGGAGTTTCCGGGAGGCTTCTTGTCGTGGTCACTGTTGGAGGTGTCAGAGTCGAGCTTTTCCTGGTCCACGTTACTGCTGAGGCAGCACTGGTAGAAGTGGCCGCTGCTGGGACCAAACTCCACGTCGGTCTCGTCAGGTAGTAGCCACCTGATCACGCCGCCATCCATCGCCAGAGCCACCATGCTGCCGAAGGCCCTCTTTTTCGGGAAGGACAGGAATTGCTTGGTGGCTGCTGCTTGTCCCACTCTTGCTAGTCACTGGCGTCGTAGGAAGAGGCGGCGAGGGACGAAGGCGCAGCTTGAGGAGCTTGTACGTCGTGTTGCGCCTGACTCTCTTGTGGCCCGCCTGGCGCTGCACTAAGTTGGCCAAGAGGTTCTTGAGAAGGTTGTTGCTGAAGATCCGGGGCGTCTGCCTGCTGGAAATCAAAATCCTGCACCGCACTGTCGTCTCGATCTTGGTGGTGCTGCAGGCTTCCCTGCTCGTAAGTCTGTTCTGGCAGCACAGGAGGTGGTGTAGACGAAGAGGCTGGAGCTTCTTGCCGAGGTTCGTCGAGAATCTCAGCTGTTGTTGTTGTAGCTTGTAGCTCGCGCGGCGCTACGTGTGGCAAGGCCGGAGCTGAGGAACGACTTCTTCAAGGCGCCCGACGTAGTTCTCCAGGGCGTTGCGCCACCAACTTGTTGTAAGTAGGACTTGAAACGCTGAGGCGGTGCGCGTGGTGTTCGTTGTGAGTGGCCGCCTCGGCTTGAACTTGGCTGTGTAGAAGAACAGGTTGCGGTGGTCCTGCCGGTGGCTGCGTGTACACAGGCCCGCGCACCACCAGCGGAGTCGGAGGCAAACTCGGTGACATGAAGTCCTCGATGGCAGCGTCGTCACGAAACACGCCATCGTCAACTGCAGGTCCCGGGCCGGTCTCGTCCTCCCACAAAAGTCACGTAGTGACTGTGACTGACGTTCTTGAGCATCTTAATGTCCTCCTCGGAAGGCTGCCAACGTTTGAAGGACACTGCCGCCCTAAGGTGTTCGGCTGGGACCAAGACTGTCGAAGTTCCAGACCAGATCCAAGACTGCTTGCCGACGTGCTCCGGGCCCCACGCCAGGAATTTGGCAAGGGCCCATCCTCCTTTCTTGCGTACGCTGCTACGCCCTCGCGTCGCCATCTCCAGTACGCGCAAGGCTCGCCTGGACAGAGGTCGGCGATTGCCGTGGTTCTTGTCTTCCTGACGATGCTCGCCTTATCCCGCGGTCTATGACAAAGTCGGCGAGGTGTTGCAAGGCTTCTGCACGTACTTGTTCGGCTTGAGCTGCAGGATCCCCAGGCAAGGAGGCCAATGACACTGCATCAGTAAGCAAGTTCTGCTCAAAGCACCATCTTCTCTAGCAGTGCGCGCGGCACTGCTGCGCCGTTCCAGGTGCACTATTTGCCAGCGCGCCTGTGGCGCAAAACTCCACGAGGATGCCCATGGCCTCGAGCTGCCCTGGAACGCCGGACACTGGTAGTCCATAAGGTTTGACCGCTTCAAAGGTCTTGTCAGAGGACTTGGTCTCCAGGCAGGTGGCTTGACGCAGATTGGTAGCAACGTCCACCAGGCCAAGTACAGGCACAGCATGACCCGTAGCGGCACGGACGTACACGATGTCGCTTTGAACGCGGTCACAAAACTGTCGTGGCTCGATCGTGGGAGTCGTAGCCGGTTGTGGTTGCTGATGTAGCTGTAGGTGCTGGCACGTTGAACATTGAAGTTTTCGAATGGCTTCCAACATGGCCTGTGAAGGAGGACCGTAGCAAACGAGACGGCGGCGTGGGGTGGCCCAGGTTGATATGTAACCGAGCCACGGCACGCTTGATCTCGATGGTCACGTTCGGAGAGGTGTTGTCAAACCGAATGTCCGTGGGCATACTTCCACATGGAACTTCGACTTGATGTCGCCGTAGACAAAGCAGCCGTCCATGCATGCATTGCTCAATGCCCTCAGACCTTAGGGGGAACCTGCACAAAACTCACAGAGCCTGCATAGCGGGCTTCATAGATCTTCATATCCTTCTACCGCCTTCATATGTTTGAGAAAGTTGTCCTCGTGTTTCGTGCAACTCTATCCCCAACAACCAGGCCCTTTGCGATGAATTCCAGGAAAGTTGAGCCTGTTGACGTCCCACTGTACACTCCACATGGGCCGCAAAAAAGAGCCCCAGCATGTACATTGGAGAGATCACATGCGCCGAACAAGGGGCGACTTCACGAACGCTTCGGCCAGTGAAGTGACCGCCTGGCCTGGAGGCTGGTCTGCAGCCCGGAACGAGTAAGAGAGGGTACCGGGGGTGCCAGGCCATCCGGAATGTGGACCGCCCAAGCCCCCTTTTCGAGCCGAGAAATGGGGTTTGGGATTCAACCCAGCCAGACTACTCCCTGGTCGCCAGGGTCACAGAGAAGGGCAGCAGCGGCAACGGCCGCGGCAGCGCTGTGTTGTTGCAGGCGCCGGGCGACAACACGGTCGTTGGCACGACCGAGGAAGACGGCAATCCGCTCCACAAAGTCTGCAAAAATGGATGCTACACCAAACCCCTTCGGCACACGCGGCCACCTCAGCAATGCTGCGCAGGGCTGAAGCCCCCTTAGCAGAGACACCCTGCAACGTCCGCACCAGGCGTTGGAAGTGCAACCCAGCAGCTGTACAGCCAGCGGCTGTGTGCAGCATTGGCGTCGGCTTGAAAGGTACTCTCCAATGCGCAGGTAGGGCATTAATGATGGCAAAGTCAAGGGTGGCCCGGTTGGAGCTCGGCATGCGGGATCCATCAGAGAAGCGAGCGGATATGCAGCAGGATGTGCGCAAGAGCACATCAGCCGGCCTGAGCGGGCGGCGAAGGCCGGGAAAGCTCACCCAGCAAGCCGCCAGCATCAAGCTCGGGGTGTAACCGGCCACGGCGACAGAAGGATGCCCAGCTACAGCGCAACCTCCCTCAATACAGTAATGCTGTGCTGATACGAGTAGTCACTTCTATACAAACGGGTGCTCACACTTAGGAAACGAGGGTTATCTCCTGCAGTTCCTACTTCTGGCACGTCCGGGGAAATGACCCCTGTGACGTGGAGGCATGCTAAGAACTGAGCTGCTGGCATACGTTGTCCGCGGTCGGGGCACAGCAAACACAACCTCGATTGAGTTGGAATTGATACCCATGCCCTGCCGTTGCAGCCCCTGCAAAGCCTGCACTCAGGTCTCTCTTTGCAAAAGCAGACCGACAAAACTGACTGGGATCCTGAAAATTGCACAGTGCACACTTGCCTCAACGCTGAAAAGGAGCCAGGAAGAACAATCAGAGAACAAGCACATCAAGACTGCCAGCTGCTGCTTTTCACAAAAGGTCATGCTGAAGGCTTTCCAGCCAGGATGCCAGCAGGATCACGAGCAGGCTACTATCGGCAAGTACGCTTGGCCTAGTTTCCAGGCGGAATCCGGCACATGACTTCACAGGAAGCAGAAGTGCTCACCGGTTGGAACCTCAAGGTGCCACACGCAGCATCTGCCCCTCGTGATCGGCGAACTATGGCCTGGGGTTGACAAGCTTCGTGATGTCCTGTTGCACTCGAATTTCCCGTTTATGAATTTGGGCCGGGAAGACAGCAGCTGCCATGCCAATGGCAAAGTCAGCCAACTGTGCTGGTGGCCTCAGCTTGACATAAGGTTTTACTATGATGCCATCGCGGGATGACAAAAACTCTCTGCATTCTGCAAGAACTCACGTCGGTGTGGGTCTGTTAGAATTGCACCCTGAGCCCATTCTGTGGTTCCCATGTCATATGAGCGAGCCTTGCTACAAGATCAGTGGTGCCCGAAAGGCACCAATCTTTTGCGCACCTCGCCTGATCCATTTAAAACAAGGGAAGTGCTGAGGTCAGAGCCAAAATGACATATCTGCATGCTGCTGCCTGAAGGCAAAAAAAGCTTTCGATCACTTGAATTGTGCATGTGAGCGTGCTTCACTGTCCGCAGTCAAGTCGCATTGTAATGTTCCCCTGCAAGAGCAGCAGAACTACGGCTGGACCTCAAGTCTGAAAACAGCGTCTTCGTGCAGCAAAACCCATTCCTCGCGTATGGGTAAGGTGCCGAAAGAGATGATCCACAGCCCCGCAAGGACGACACAGAGGCCAGAACCTAGAGAGATGGTGTTGCAATGAGGAAACAAAAATCTGTGCAACATTCTCACATGCTGGGCTACATGCTCATGAGCGCTCAGGGGCAGGGGCGTGACCCAAAAGACGAGGCGATATTACAATTATATCTTGATCTTAGGTTTCATCCCCAGCACACTGCGCGATCCGTTCTCTCCTGTCATCCAAGCGAAAGTCCAGTTGCCCGACCCACAGGAAGTTTGGACGGGACCGACTGCGAAGGTTGAGGAGAGGGTTCGTCCAGCAACGTCTCTGGGGTCTTGAAAGGCTACTCAAGGACCTTTACCTCATTGCAAGATTGGACTTCCGCGCTTCCCGTGCCTCCAACCCATGCGCCATCCTGACACACTTCCTGCTTCCGATCCTGTGCTGCTAGCTTTTTTGCTCACAAGCCACGCTGTTCCTGCCCAACCCCATTGCCGAGGCTGCCCCGTCGCTAGTGATCAAAATTGGAGCGCTGTCAGCGCATACTGCACCAACTTTGCCAACCGATTTCAAAGCAAAACCATATTCTAGGAAGCCTCCATGCTTCTCCTCCGCAAGGACCAGGACCTTCCGCGTAAATGGATACCTGCAAAGGGTCATGCGTTTGAACTTGAGCAGCAGGACCGGAGTCGGCGCACAGAATCCAAGAAGGCAGCAACACGAAGACGAACCAAGAGGGACCATTCGGGCACCTCAGGGCGTCATAGATTTCAGCCTGTTTTGAGCTTCACCCAGTCCGTCAATGAGAGCAGCACCACTTAAACCATTGTTCCAGGAAGATGGCACATCGGAAGAGATACGACAGCTCAACTTCTACGCCCTCTCGATGTAGCAAATATGCTGCCCATAGCAAGGCAATCCAGAAGGTCACCACCACCTTGCCAAGACGGCGCATGTAAAAACGCAGAATGTCACTCCATGTGTTGAAGACCTTGGATCCGTAGGCCCAGTGTGTTACGAAGCCACTTGCGACCACAAAAAAACAGACGGCCACGTTCACACGAAAAACCGCGTTGAATGACTCATCTCGCTTTGGCAAGTAGTGCGCACAGACGATCCAGAAGGCCGCAAGACTTCGCGCACCTGTCAAATGACCGAACTGCTCTCGGTTGGGAGGCTCATCCATGCCCATCAGGTCATGAGGTCAGCTGCACCGCGCACCCAGGGGCACTGAGCCGACTGACAATGACTGGCAAAACGCGCAAAAGTTGATTCTCAACTTGCTGCATAAAGGAGTGAAGGTTTCAAGCCTGTTTCAGACAACTGCCAAGCACGCCCTTTTGTTCCGGAGACGCTTAACGTATCAACCAGAATGCTGTAGTGCTCGAACGAGCCGAGCTGCAGAAATTTCGCAGCACTTGCAGGTGGATAAACGCATGGAATGCATCAAGACATCATGCACCCTTCGGGTGTGAAGCTTGAACACTGTCTTCGGCAGGCTCTAAAAATAAGGGCACGCAAATCAACATGCTGCATAAACAAACACATGGCGATAACAGACTCTAATGAGGTTTGCCTTGCTGTATGTTTCCCTGCCAGAAACTGACTTGCAAAACCTATGCTAATTTACCGCGCGGGCAACCATGAAGCCGCCCCTAACGCCTGACGCTGTGCCGGCCGCTCGGTAGATTGCCTTGCTCCTTGTCACAGAACTAACGCCAGCGACAAAATAAGCTCAGAGAGCTCACTTCTGACATTACAGAGCTACACCACTCACAGCACTATGCAGCACACAGCTACACATCATGCGTTGTTGTCTACACAATCTCCTTGGTCGTTGTTCCCTTGCCGAAAACGAGCCACCTGGGAAAGGCTGGCCAGATCAAACAAGTGTTAAGCAGGTCTCGCAGCACCTTCCAGCCTGAGGAATGATACAGGCTTCTGTCGCTTTCGTCGCTTTCGAGGGGGGGGGTCTTCCTCAAAGCTGCTGAAGGGTGCAGAGCTTGGATGGCCGGAGCCCGCAGGGCTGCGGTCGCTCGCAAGCATACTCCGCGAGTCTGCACTTTTCGCATTGCTGCGATTGCTGCGCCCGCTTCGCATGCTGTGGGAGCTGTGAAAGCTCGGCCGTCGTGGAATGGGCAAAGTCAGGGACTCCACCGGCCTGAGAGCTGTTCCAAATTAGTCGAAATAGCTGGGCAACATAACAAGTCCAGCCTTGAAGCGGCAGCCTGGAATGTCAAAGTTTTGCAAGGTTGTCTGATTCGGTAAACCTGAGGCCCTCACCAAGGATTCCAACCCTGAAGACAGGTGGCATTTGCGGAAGTGGAATAAGTGGAACAGCATAGCAGGCATAGCAGTTTGCAATTGGTCCCACCAGGTGCGTCCATTTCGACTGCAGCTTTTTCTCCAGCATCCTTCAGAGCTTTGCCGCGCGAAGCGACGAGAAACAGAGCCTTCCGCTATCCCGATCCCTGCCTCCGTTTCCACAACAGTCTCTGCAGCATCAGCATGTGGCGATGCATGGTCGCCGCCTCATGAGCAAGTTGTACAAGCACCTTTGCTGAAGCTTCATGCACTTTGGGGCAAAATTAGACGTTGATGTGATGCTGACCGTTTGCTTGCTTTCCACAACACGCGGGATTCTCAGAAAGTTCCGTTCGAAGGTGTAGGAACTGTATTGATCAACGGAGACGTCGGAAACCAGAACAGTCACAAGCAATCAGTGGGGGCCTGGTGCATGGATATAGTCTAGCTGGGCAGGATCACCCTGGACTGATCTGGCTGGGCGTGCGCGTAGTGCGGGTGATTCTGCTGAGCAGGTCAGAGCGCGCGAGTTACAAGACGTGCATGGGATACTCGTCATTTCGATTTTGGCTGAAGGTCGACGCTGCGCAGCATGTACGTCATCATCTGCTGTGGAGAGGGGATCCAGCCCCACGTAGATCTCCATTGGCTCTGTTACATTTGCTCAAGGCAGATTGCAGGGTGAAGGCATCTAAGCCATTTCCGCTGCTCAAAGAAAGTGTCTGCATCTTCCTGACTGATTTCTCAATGACCCATCCCTTCGTCCGTGCCTGAGCTCTTGGAATCCTTGGACTTGGAAGATCTTGACTCGATCTCAGGCCAAACAGAATCAGCAGCACATGCAGCTAGCAGACCGCAACTGAGAGCGAAGCTACAGCATTCAGTCGGGCTTGAAGGGCTCGGGCAAGTTCCATGCGAAGCTGAAAAAGCAATCAAATTCGCAGTTTCCTGTGACTGGGACATGATTCTGATCCGGGCCTCTTTCAGAATGAGCTTTGGAATGCTCTTCGCCTGCTTCGTCAACCACTGCTGCAAACAAGTCTTTCGAGAGTCGGCCTCGTGCACTCCCCGTACCTGAACATTAAAAGTCACGAACAATTCTGCAAACGAAATGCGCACTTTTGTGTAGCAGACATGGCAGACACAGGAGGGGCACAAAAACCACGCAGCAATCCGAGCTTGCTGCCACTGCCTTAGCGAAAACAGTTCAAGTCAGGTCCAATCAAACCGTAGCAGATTGTGTTGAGCTGAGGCTCTCGCTGAGAACGGTTCAGGAGCACCCCAAATGGGGAAAAAACTCAATGAGCAGAACCTGGCACAAGAACTGTGCAGACCAGGGCCCATCAGTTGAAAGGGGTCTAGTCGAGACAGAAAACCCTGTCTGACTTGAAGGCAGTTTGTGCCTTGGGGCCTCTGTTTTCTAAGCTTAGGATGAAGAGCTCATGAGTCTGTTCGGAAAGTCTCGCATGAAACCAGCGGCGTTCGCATGGCTGTACCTTTGATACGGGCGCATGACCCTGTGACCAGGGCCTTCAAAATCGAGTAACCCGTCGTCATGGTCCAAAAACGACAACAAGACCACACGTGATGGAATGAACTTCAGTCGACACCCACTCTTGCCAGGCAGCATGTCCCCACTCCCCAGGACACTGATGGTCTCCTGCTTGGTCCGGGGTGTCTAGTCAGAGTCCCATGCAACTGTGGCATCAAAGGAACAAGTCCTGGTTTCGCAGAAGATCTGACCTCTCAAGAATGTCCAAAGCCGCCTAAGGCACACCAAGAGAGATTTCTCGCGCCCCATCCTCAGCATGGGATCCGTGAAAAAATCTGCTGATGTCGGCCGGCTGTAGGGGCCTTGGCTTTCAGGCTTCTGCAGCTTAAGACTCAAAGACATCTTCGGTCAAGACACCGCAGAGCGTGTCTGGTGAAAGCCACTGCCTCAATGCAGAGCAATGCAGAGCAATGCAGAGCGATGCAGAGCCATGCAGAGCGGTGCAGAGCAGCAAAACCAGTCTCTTCGGGCCTGTCGGGCCTCTCACTCCAGGAGCCTGAGCCGACATGCTCCGGAGAGCCGGGCCTGGGCTAAGGGCCAAGCGAGTCAAGATCTCGAATTTCTTGCATTTTCTTGCCTTGCGGAGGAGAGCGCAGTCACCTCCAAGGCTGGGGAAGGAATTCCATCCTCATAGATTCTCGCAGAGCTTGGGATGCCGGCGTGTTCCAAGAGAGCCTCAGAAATGCACCGAAACGCGAGCAACAAAGTCAAAGAGAATCGGAAGGGTCTTGTGCTCTCAGTCAGCTGCCCGTATTTGCTCAATTTCAAGTTCACTTCGAAGGTGCTCTTCTGATTCTGGCGCCTCGGAAAAACTGTGTTGGTCAACGTCCCCACATCACATGGCAATACTACCTATTGCAGGTTGCTGCAGTTTGCCAGCCTGCCGAAGTGGGCGAGCTTCTCTGACCTCTTCTTCCCTGCCGGCCACGAAAAGCAATGTAAGCAATGATCTAAAGCAGAACTTGCTGCTCGTGGCCTTCTAAGAGCACGCTCCTTCTTCCTGAAAGCGTTTGTCTCCATCCGCTCCTTCAGCAAAGCCTCCGCTGCCAGAACTTACACTAGAGCTGTGTGGTGTGGTCGTTGGCCTCTCTGCCTAGTCGTCTGCTTCGATTCTATGCTTCTGTCACAAAGAAAACAGGAGAAGACACACGGAAGACAAATGAGTCCACCAGTCCCACAGCGGCACCATTGGTCCACATTATGCTCGCATCAAAAAGAAACAGTTGAATATTCTGCTGCGGAAGCAGGTTCCCGCTGACGAAGAACATGTCAGCCCCGTGTGATGGAGGCATGGCTTCAGTTCTGTGAACACTAAAAGAAGGGCCCCGCACAGTTGTGGTGATCAGAGCCTGCAAAAATCAATAGCCTTAGCCTGAGAAACAATTGAGAAACAAAAAGGAGACGAATGAATCCACCAGCAAAAAGCGGCGCCACGGCGCTCACGTTCTGGTTCTAGCATAACTGATAACGAGAGACAAGCAGAAGACAAATGAGAGACACATCGAAAACAAATGAGTCCACACGATGCAGCAGCACCACGCACCCACGCTTTGCTTGTCGAAGAAAAACAAATAGAAGACTAATTGAAAACAAAGAGGAGGCAAAAGGGAGTTAAATGAGTCCGCACTCTCTTCCCAAAGGGGTACAAATTAGAGACAACTTTTGGAGTAGTGCTGCGGGAAATCCAAAAGATCATCATAGAATCCTTTTCTTAGAGCCAATCAAGAACCCCACAGCTAAAGCTGTTTGGGGAAATAATAGTAAAGCAAAGCGCAAAAAAGCATGACACTCCATGAGGAACAGAGGTTAAGCTCCTGCTTGCTTGACATGCAACTGCTCGGATCATGTGACATCCCACAGTACGGAACCTTGTGGTGGCGAACTTTGGCTTCTTCGGGTGAAAGCTTCTTGTCACGTGGCGGCAGAAAGTGGGACGGATCTGGCAGCAAAACAAAATACATCAGATTCAGGCGTTAGCTGGCCCAAAAGGCCTGCAGAATACTCATCCTCAAGCTTTTGGCGCATGGTTCCTTTCAAAGGTGGTGGCAAGCCAATCCTTGGCCTGCGTTGGGCTGAGCTGCCGCAAGAAATGTTGCTGCCATATAGAGCACTCCGGATTGCATCTCAGGATCTGGCAGGCCCTCCTCGTCAAGCTCTGGAGTAAATGTTCTGCAGGACCAGGGATCAGCTTTCCAACAATTTTGCACAAACATTTGCCACAACACAAACTAGAATTCTCCAGCCTGGCAATGTCGGGAAGAAGCAAACATGTCACATCCTGGCCAATTGGCGAATGGCACACTGGTCAAGGACAAGTGCAGCTTGTTCCTGCGTGGTCAGCTTCTGGGGCTTGCCTGCAGGATTTCAAAGCTTTTGAGGCATAGCCCACGAAATTCAAAGCAGCATACGAAGCCTGCAAGAGGCCGGGTTGCAAGCACATAGGCTGGATTTGCACTGGACATCCTTGGCATGGGAAGCATGACTCAAAGCATCCTTGCAACCTAGTAGTGGTCTCTTAGGCGCTCACTTGTATCTTCTCAGCTCCACATGCCCGCGCTGCACCATAAAAATGGCAGGTTCAAGCCTCCGGCCAAGATCAAAGAAGTTCAGATGACTTCAAAGGTTCCACTCCTTGGGTCCCAGCAGCACCATGCCCTCTTCCAGCAAACACTCCCTTGGACACATCTTTCTCAGTGGCGACTTACGAGGGGCATTCAAAACGGAAAGTAGAGCTGGGATGTGGGCCCTTCTGGTACCACTTCCTTCGTTTCAAATGCTACAGGACGTGCAAAACAGCAATCACAGGAGAGAAATGCTGCAAACACTATGCGAAGCAGCGGCCCGCTTGAAGAAATCGTTAGGATGAGGCCTGCGTCGAGGCAAACTACAAGCAACATAAGCAATGGAACAAAACAGAGTTCGCTGTTGCACCAGCATTTTGCACCTCCACCCAAAAGCATGATGATTACAATTTCAGTGGGAAGCAGCAATTTTGCAAGTCATTTAAGGTGAAGCGTGTTCGACCAGGACCAGTGATACTCCCAGACTTCGCATGCACTCAGATGCTGGACTGCACCTGGCTTTGTTTGACTTGGAACATTTGTGCTGCGCGCTCTTGGCCCAATGACTCTGTAGAGCTCATGCTGTTCCAGAGCATTGCTCGAAGCTTCTCTTCAGAGGCATGCCAGACAAGTTCTCGACCGCGTGAAGCATCTAGTGCTGCACATTTGGTGCTTGACTGAGTGCAACTAGTACCCGGTAGGCGTCCTCACTTCGTTGCGCTGTACCACAAAACGAAAACAAAAGCATGTTTGCTATGGAACACTGAACGGCCTGTCTCACACACAGTAGCTGTCTTGAAAATGGTGCAGGCACTGAAAATTCCCTGCAGCTCCGTGCGAAAATGATGCACACCTAGACTGCAATCTCCGTCCAAAGGCTTGATGTACACAGGCTGCGCGATTTGTTGGGTGAAGACGTGATGAAACCCATACACCTTCCGATGTTTACTTGACTTGATCTTTCTTCCACATGTTCACGCAACTCTGCCTGATGTTTCTGTTTTTGTTGAGGCCAGGCATGTAGAGGTCGAAGAAACGCTGGTTCTCTCGCATCCTTAGCTCCGGCTCCTGTTGGCGTTAAAGAATGACTTTGACAGTGTCTGGGTCGAACACATTTTGAGCGTCTTCTGAAACACTGAAGCGTTTATCCTGAGATTCACATGCACATTTGGATGGCAGTGTCTGGCGACCCTGCAGTGACAAACATGAGGTCCCGGCGCTAAAAAGTCGCAATCCTTGATGCACCTGCAAAAGGGCTCGAGCTCTTGGACCCCCCCTTTTCATGGTTCGTAGAGGTTCGTAGGTCGTCTCCGAGGCCTGGCGCTGTGCTGCCAGAGCTCTTTCCCCACCAGCGCGGACTCGCCAATCAGACTTCCCGGCGTATCTGGCAGAACAGAGCGGACTCGCCACACGATAAAAAGGTATAGGACTTGCAGCCCATCAATTTAGCCCAGCGGTCGGCTTGTCTCGTAAAGCTCTCCGAAAGCAGAATCCTGCCAGCAAAGCCGATGAAAGCCGAGACAGCTAAGACTCCTCACTCATCCATTGTCCGTGACATCAAATTCCCGCTTGGGACACCAAAACGTCGCTTTTTTCTCGTGCTGAGATAGCCATCAGTGCGCCTGACAGCTACCAGTTCAAGCTCCTTGGGACCCTTGCTTCCAGGCAATCTGCCCACTGGAAGCATCAAGTTCAGCGAGATTGTGGACCTCCATAAGGGATAGCTGATCAACTGAAATTCCTGCTCTCTAGTCAGCACTTATGTTGCATAGCAGCCAAGAGTCATCGCGCGGGGTCAGATAGAATGTGAGAAGGGCTGCCATAAGTGATAGCACGCCTCAAGCAGGGTACTTGCAGAAGGGTCACTCATCTTAAGATATCTTAATGGGTCTGTGCAGCCGCGATGCCGCAAGCACTGTACACGAAGCCCATGCCTTGGCTGCACAAGTGTCAACCTCCACTCGACAACCCTCACAGCACCCGCTGCAGGCAAGACAAGTGGCCAAAAGATTGTTGCAGCAGTGGGAACAACGCAGTACCAATGAAGGCGCCCATTTTCCCGGAGGCTGCTGACACACCGTGGCAGCGTGCACGGACCTAAAGCGAGGGTCCAGAGATAACCCAGGGCCTGCAAATTTTCCCTAAGCCGGTGGCACTAGTTGGAAAGACCTCCGCCGGCACGATATACGTTGTGAGGTTGGGCCCAGCATTTAGGCACAAAAACCTGAAGATGCCAGAAGTGCAGGCAGACAACCAATGACTCAATGACATTGCAGGAGGAATGTATCGGCATGTCCCAGAAGCATGAAACCCAAAGCACCAACTTGCAAAGTCAGGGATGGCTGCGAATCTATAGCCATGAAGCCGGCCACCTCAGCAACTTTTCCGTCAAAATGGCACACTGGCGGGACATGCCTAGCCGGGCTGCCACAAAGAAGACCATTGCGATGGCCAAAAAGCCATAGAGCTGCATCGAGAAGCCTCATCATGATGACTGGCTTGCCTCCGCAAGCCATATTGCAAGAGCTCTCATGCAAAAACTAGAACACCCTTTTCACGTGTCTCCACTCTACCCCTACGTGCTTCCTGGAAGCGACTTGAGACGGTCACAAAGTACAGCCCTGCTCCGAATCCGGCAATTGCAAAGCAGCTCCTCAAGAAGAGAAGCTGCTTGTGGAAAGATGCAGTCAGGATCAACGGTCTTGCAAGGAAAGCTGGTGCATTCTGCTGCTGGGTTGCGTAAAGGCCGCAAATCTCGCGTGCTGAAAAACCTTCACGGAATGCGGCGCTGGCACACCATCTTGCACTCCTGCCAAAACATCTTTGCGAGTCCTGGCCTCTTCCGAGGCGGCAAGTCCTGATTGAATCGCTTCGTCAAAGATCATGCTCTTGAAGGATCCCAGGCTGTAAGCAAACCTGAGCAAGTTGTCGGTATTTCGAGCAATTCTGAGCACGATGTCCTCAAATTGTCTATCCGTACAATTCGTCTGGCCCGAGTTTCGCACATGTTCATGAGCAGCCAAGTAGAGGACGTACCAATCAACAATGGCCAGAAACCGGAAACCGTGTCCAGAGCATTCCGGCACCGTACGCAATTGTCATCTGCCTTCACCAAACAACAGCCAGTAACTGGCAGGGGCCTACCAAATCGCAATAATCAAGACAGGTAGAACAAGCATGGCCTCAGTCTGCAAACTCCTTTCAAAGATCGCTGATTCTTTGAGGGACCATCGCATGCCTCGGTAAAGACAAGTGACCCGCTTGAATGCTCGGATGCCGCTGAGAAAAAGTGCTCATCGCCGAAATGACTTGTTGGGCAGCGGCAAAATGCAACTGTGGACGGTATTGATCCGAAAGCCAAGAGTAGTCGCCAAACTGCCTGCATGCATCGAGAGCCACCTCTAGCGGCTACAGCGTCATCCCTCCACTAGTCAACTAATCTGGTTCAACACCCTCACCAGCGCGTGTCTGGCCCGAAACGCCTTCTCACACAAACAGCTCTTGATCACAGTACATGGGCAGAGCAACCCCCGCTGCCACAATGCTGAGACAGTCCAAGAAAGAACTAGCTCCCTCCACCCACTGCTACGTGGCCACAGCGGCTTAGCGTCATTTGTGAACTGAGATGCTGAACGCATCGTCTTTGTGTTTGCTTTCATTGCATTCATTTCCTAAGTTTGTCATTGCGTTGGTGTTCGCACGCTGATAGCAGCAGAGCTGCCCCGCTAAATGCCACGACGGCTTTGGGTATGTACAACGCTTGATTCAGACCTGGCGTACAAGAACAGCACTGTATAATTCAATAAATTGTTAAGGGGGCTTGTCGAGGTTACAAGCCTCGGAAAAGATTGTTTGTCCATGCCGTTCTTGTAATTTGAGGCGTGGCAGGCTGCAAACCTTATGCAGGCAATACCTAAACTCAGAAGCATCTTTCCCATACAGTAAATCACAGGATCAAACTGCCAAACTGGTGCCCTGCCCAAGGCATATACACACATCATCAATTTCCGTATCTTGGCGAGCACGACAAAAATTGCATCGCAGAATGCTGTGCCGAAAGAAAACTTCCGGTCTTTGCACCCGAGGGTCGGACCTGCAAAGAGGTTCATTAGCGCAGGTTTGCAGTGCTGAGAATCACATCACTTTCAGTGCAAAGTGAGGGCAGCGCGAAGGTGCTACCATTAAGAGAGGGTCAACCCCATGCGTCGAGGAGCCGGAGGCAGTCTTGTAGTAGTTTTCAGCTTTGCGGCGGGGGGGGGGGGGGGTNNTGGCAGATATAGGGATGACTTTGCAAAGCCACACGCACCGGGTGTGTGACTCCAAAAGCTGCCCTCCACGCAAGTTCACTTCAATTAACTTTCCAATCCAAAAACATGCACATGACTCTGGAACCATGAGTGCTCAAGCATCACAAATGCAGTGCCCAGCCCACACCAGACATGCAGGCCTGTTTTCCAGTATTCAGACAGCAGCTACTTTCCGAAACTCTGGCCGGGAGCTTTGATTTGCTGTTGGGAGGTTGAAACGTGATCGAAAACCCAACCCGTGAATGCCTCGAGTGGCAGCGACATGCCCACGAGCATCATGGCCTGGAATGCCAATCCCAGACATAGGAAGAAGTCAAGCAATGGCTTGAGGCCACAACCATCAAAGCGGACATCAGCATCCCAACTCCCTGTCAGATGCTCTCTCAGTCTCTCATGCTTACACAGCATTGTGATGCAATGTGCATGGACGTTGGGAGCATCATGGCCGGGTCCTGCATGGATACAACCAAGGCCATGGCTTGGCCACGTCCTGCATCTCTGGCATATACTTTTGCTTCCGCTGCCCGACTGCACGACTAGAAGCAATAAAGCCAAGACACTGTCTGCATCTGTCAGTGCCTCCGCGGTGACCTCATGTCAGGTCAAGGCTGGTAAGCATTGAGCATTGCAATATGCCTGCTCCGACCTCCGACCCTTCCATCACCGCTTCTCCCTTATTCTGTTTATAAATGCCATAACTGGAAGCTACTAGCGGGATCTATATACCCAGGCGAGCAGGGCAACACATACCAGCCGAGCAGCAGTGGCTGAGAGCGGATACTCGCCGCCCACACCAACTCCCAGCACAAAGCGACATAGAGACATCTGGAGGACAACAGCTGCATTCTGACAAAGAGAGCACGACAGCGCACCAATGACTGTCAAAGCTGCAGTTGCCACAAAGGCCCACTTCCGGCCCATCCAATCAGCGACATAACCAAAGCCCAGCTGACCCGTCAGGACTCCTGCCAGCATCGCGCTAACCATCAAGGCTTTGGCTCCGGCGGATATCTTCAGTTCCCCGTGCTGCAGCTGCAATATCAAAACGACGAGGTCAATAGTGAAGAGATCATAGGAATCTGCCAGAAATCCGAGGCAAGCTGCCGACACTCTCCAGGTGCTGTCCGCCTGAATTCGATGTCGGCTCACCGACAGAAGGGGCTGAGTTTCCCCCTCTTGGGGCTTCATTGCAGGATAGCTTCACCGCATTGCTGTCAAAAGCGGCGAACCCTTCTCGGCTCTGAGTTATGTTTCTCTTGAACCGAACTCTGCGAGTGTACCCTGCATGGTCACGGACGCCTAACGCATGCTGACCGACTCAACTCTTACGTACGGACGAACAACCCGACAACAACCTGCTGACACAAGCTTGACGGTCCTTGCCGAATGTACTGTGACCCTCAATGGTCCGAAACCTGCATCACAACTGCACTTCAAGCAAGACTCAAAGGTTGGCATGTGAAAAAGCTGCAGCATACTGCAGCCGCCTTGGCGAAGATTCCTCATCTCTGCGACTCTTCTGCATGTACTCTGACAGTGTGGGATATTTGGACGCGTCATAGTCTGTACGCGGGGTGCAGAGCCCATGTCGGGAGCCAGACTTTTTGGTGAGCTTGTTCGTGCTCTTATCATCATCTGTAATCTCGATTGGGTGCCAACCAGAACCCTTCAAAAAGTCGCGATCTGCTGAATACAACTGGACTGATCCGGAAAGTTGCACATACGAACAATGCGCAGGGTCATGCTCCCGATACAGAATTTGGCCAGCCACCGCTGACACGAATGATAGCGACTCTGCCTCCACGAGCATTTTGATGAACCCTGCATTTTGCTGCTCCAATTTTTGGAGCAGGGGAACCTCTAGCGCAATTTGATATGGCGTCTGTCCAGTTGGGCCTTTTGACAAGAAACCATCGGCAACACGTGCCGGGGGTTTTCTTGCACACCGGGCTTGATCACACATGATGTCCATGCCTCGAGGTCGACGGAAGGAAATAGTCGACCACAAGCCATTGAAGGCACGAACATCATCCTCTCGTTTCAAAAGCCGGTAGTCTGCACAACTCAAGCCGATTTTGGAGACCACTCCCTTTGCAATGAAGTCTGTTCGCTCATTCGGTTCTGGTTCAGATTGGACTGGCCGGAAATCTGCCGCAAATAGCTCATTCCAAGAATCTGTTGCCAGGCGTCCGGTTGTGAAAGATTGAACAGAAGCTAATGAAGCAGACGTCCATGGGCGTGCTGCAGACCTCAAAATTCAGCTCACACTGCTCGCGAATATATACATTGATCCAGTGGGCATAGGGCGGCATGGAAAACACAAAGGGTTTTATGAAACTGATGCCTTGCAGAGCTTCCAGTCTTCCCACCGAAATCACCAGCCTTCGAAACAAGGCAGGTTTGTGCCATGTGACCAGCTGCACATGTAAGGCAAACACAGGAGAAGAGTTCGGGCGAAGCGTCCTGCTCAGGCATACCCAGCCCAAGTCTATGAAGAGGTCATGATACACAAGCACATGGCACATAGCAGTTTTTGTGTTGAGTTGACTGCATCTCTAAATATTTTTTTCATGAAGCGCTGCCTTACACACATGTTCTAGCACGCCGGTCAGAAGTGCGGTCCCTTGCGAATCTCCCAAGGGTGGCTGTCCTGTCATCAAACACACAAGCAAACTGCACATGCATTTCCAAAAGTCGTGCCTGCTTCCGTCTGCCAATGCCACGTGTCGTAGTGACCTTCAAGGGTAGAACGCGCGCATTAGCAGGAGAAACAACATGTAACATGGGGCACCTCGCAATGAGGGTGATAACCTGGGCTGCGAGCCACATAATGACAAGCTCAATTATGTCAAAGTTTCACGGCCACCCCCACGGTCAGGAAAAGCTGGGGTCCCGTCGGACGAGCTACGTTGCGCACCCGAGCTGTGCCTGTGGGAGATTCAGGCCTGGCATGTCCACACTTTCAATAAAAGAGTTTGCACTACCAAACCCTCTCACACAATGCTGTCGCTCGCTGGCCCAGCCATGCCTTGCGACTTCATCATCGTGCGCCGGCATGCGCAAGTTGAATCTATTGCTGGAAATAAACCATTAGTAACACCGAGTTGGATGAAGCCCTGACAACCATATTCAAGATGTCAAACCCCAACTTACACGATAAACTATAGCAACTCCTCAAGCTGAGACTTAGCATTATACACATGCATGCCAAACATGCTGTTGTACCACATGGAAAGAACAATGATTTGACGAGCTTGGACTATAACTTCAGGCTTTTGCAAGCAGCACGAGCGAACGAAAATGTGGACAGCGGATCAAATGACCTTTATTTCCAAAGTTATCTGGAAACGTTCCAATCAATGATGGACAGGAATCACGTTCACATAGGAAAATGATTCAAAACCATCCGCACAATATATAGAGCGGAACCATCGAATATCAAAGCCACACACAGCATTCAGCTCACAAACAAAAGCTGCACACACTTCTTGTTTTTGCGGCAATGGGGACTGGATTGTGGTCTCAACATCTGCGCGTCCGGCATTGCACACACGGATGAGATGGGGCACACCTCCCCCCATCCGCCGTCACTCACGAGTGATCAACCCAACCCCGGGCGGGTAGGCCAGACAAAAATCTTTTCAATGCATTCGAGCCGCAAGAATGTAATGCAACCAAATCACATGTCAAACGGTGCAATCACAAAAAATCTCGAAACAAAATTGCGCACAGCCAAACGTTCAAAGAAAAAAAAGGAGATACGGAGCTATAACGCAAGCAAGAATGCAATCTTGCAAGACTGCAATCTTTTATTTGCTGTCAACAAAACCAGCATGTTCCAAACAGTCGGATATCTGGGTATTCAATCAATGTGTCCTCACATTGTGAGAATCAACAACTTTATAAGTCATAATATCAAATTCATAGCTTCCCAATTTTATCAACTTTAATATCCACTCGGAATATTTTACTTACATTCCAGTCAAGTGCCGACACAAATGAAGAAACACACGTTCTCATTTTGCATTCTAGCGGTAAAGAGTGCCTGGGGAATTCCTTGCAATGGGCCCACGTTTGTGGGGCCCACACACTCACGCTGCGCATCCACTCCGCTGGACTGCACCCTCTTTTAAAGCCCTGCCGGTGTTTCGGACAGAGGCGCACTTTCCCCCAGGCACCCCACCAGCGCTGTAGCGAGAACACTGCAGTCTGCTCTCAAGCGTGCGCTCCAAGAAGGATCACGGACACCACGGGACGGTGCATCCCCAGGGTTACTGTTGGTATTAGCGCGTTCAATCCAGGGGTTTCAACCTTCACTATGCGCTAGCCTATGAACTGCTGTCATCAAGCGGCAGCCACACGGGTTGTCACTGGCACCGCTGATCATGCTGTGGATCGAGCCCTCGTTATCCCCGAAAAAGATTACTTCACACCTGCTGAATGGGCGTCCCCAACGCGACAACCCAATCAGGATCGCAAAGCATTCAAGTTCGTATATGGGATTTTTGCCGCCATGTTGGTTTAACACAGCAAGTGCTTCCTCATCAAGATCCTCACTAAAGAAGCCGATGCGAGCGCCGGAGGATGTAATAAGGATACCTCCAACTCCTGCATTGCCGTCTTCGTGCGACGCGTCCACATACAAGTGGAAGGCGCGTGTGGACCTATCCGACACCAGGCGAGCGGGAGCGGCAAGGACCCGGTCCTTGAGAACAAGGAGAACCTCAATCAGGCGAACCTCCACCTCGAGCGACGTGTGCGGACAATGCTTTGTACGCAAGGCCAGCTTGCTTCCCGGCAGTCTGATTTTCAGCAAACTGCAACCTACCGCAAAGGCGTTTCCCGTCTTTGCGGCTGAGGAATCCTGGTTGCAGGATGTTTGTGAGGGATGCCGTGAGCTCTTCCTTCCGCGAGTCCGTGTTGGTAAAGAAGGCCCTGCCAAACCTAGCTTCCCCTAGAGCTAGCCGAAGCCTTTAAACCTTTGCTGGTATCTTTGTCTTCGGCCGTCTCCGAACCAAGGAGTGCAAACAAGCCTGTCACCTGACCCCTTGTTCACATGCATTATGCCTTTGCGAGTGCTCCTGGCTGATCTGCATATGGCTTCGGTTGTTATTGTGGCCGAGGTGCGTTTTGCGCGGCACGCACCACTCGATGGGATCGGCCTACTGAGGCGGAAACCTTCTGCCACGTCTGCCACTACGGTGGCATCCTTGAGCATGCTACACTCCAACATCTCCTTGAACAGGGCCAACTTTTCTTTAGAATTCGTGAACAATGCCCGGGTAGCTTTGCTTTGGGTGAATCCTCAACCTCTTGCAGATTGCTTGCTCTACTCATCCACTTTCGCAGCTCTTCGGTTCTGCGCCGACCAACCTCCGCTGAAGACATATTAGCCAGCCTTGCAATCATTCCTTTAGACTCCTCAGGCAGACGTGACATGATTTGGCGAGGATGCTCAACGCCTTTGGCTTGATCGATGAACTCTTCTGGGGTCCAGGGAATTCCTATTGCAATCCTATGGGTAAGCGCTGCTCCGGGCCCGGCTGGTGGAGCAGGGTCGTTATTTTACACACTTTGTGCGCTTGAGCCAAACACGTCCCGTGCTTGACAACTTTGGTTGTGTCCTGGTCAAACCAAACATGCTTGCACATGCTCTTCATGGCACACATGAAACTCTGTACTAAAACACTATACAGCGTATTGGGCTTGG